TGCGTTTTTCTTGTGCTTTCACACCAAGTTTGCTCTGGCCATACTCGGATTTCTGACATTCCCAGGCTATCTTGAAGCCAGTTTCACCAGGCTTCAGGTTTGCTATCTTTGCTCGTACGTTTGGATCGAACCATTTCCAACAGATAGCCGAATTTCTCTTCTGCGCTGATCGATTTGTTGTGGACTTGAGTGATAAACATGTTCTCGAATCTAACCCAGTCGATAGCGTTCCTTTGAACGGTGTTATTATCAATTTGGGTGGTTTTGCTGTGGTTGAACGGGCTCCTTTCTTCAGTCCCTGCCGTTTATGCGTCGCCTGTAATTATGAATCAATTTTCTCCTACCACATACGTTGTTCGTGCTCTTCTTGTCGCGAACGCAACTCAGTTAAACGGCGTTCTTCTTCTTGCTGTTGTTCTTGTTTAGCTTGCAATCGTTTTCTTTCCATTTCCTCGTCTATTTCCTCTTGTCTGTTATTTACGAACTTCGCAAGCTTTTCTTTGTCCACAAGAAATGTGGAATACCTGGCCTTCATGTCCTTCTTCCATTGTCTCACCGATCGAGGAGATACACCATGATCTATTTTTAATCCCTCTACTTGCGAAATAAAATTTGATAACTTGCCCACGCTTTTCTCCGCTCGTCTTTTGGGAGTATCCATTTCTTTGTAATCCTTTAGCTTAATTAGCTCGTCCGTTTTGTCCAGAAAGTACTTGAGTTCGTGTAATTCTTTGTCTATTTCTTTTTCTAGTTGTTGTTCGTCCTCACAACTGTGCCGCGTGTCTGCGCTTTCCTCGCCGTCACTCATATTTTCCAATTCCTTCACTCGTTGTGCAATAACCACTAGAAGTCCGCAGTACTGGTCTCGGCACCACTTTTTGTACCGAGCTTGTGGGGCACAAAATAGCTCGCTTAAATTGCAGATCCTTCGGTTATTTAAATCACTATCCGCTCGTACATTTTCCTCTTCGACCAATCTCAACAAAGGTAATAAGCACCACCCTCTAAGTCAGCTATTCAGATTTCAAATGTCAATCAAAAAAGGATAACACTAATGCGATACTAAAAGAGTCACATCCGTTTTTTAAAAATGAGTGTCACGACATTTCCGGTCAAGTTCCGGTCAGCAGTATAATGCAGTTCTTTCAAGTTTCAATTGCTGAGTTCCGTGTCTCCAAACACGTTTGCTTTATAAAGCCTTGCTTTTTTTTAAAATTTTTTCGTCACTTTCCAATTGAGTACCGAATAAGATATATTTCTGTGTAAGGGTGTTTGTCAAACCGAATATTTTGATCATAAGCGGTCATTCTACAAACAGGGGTCTGAAATCTATACGTCTTGACAATTACATATCGTTGAGGCCACCGAGGCGCTATTCCTCACAGATTTTTAGGAGAACTTGTCGCAACATTCGGTGGCCAGTCAGCCAAATTAACAGGTCATTTTCTGTAGTACATTGCTTTAAAGAGCTTACAATATCCTGATATCTTTCATTTTTTTTTTCCTTTATCGCTATTCTCCAATCTTTGGACACCCAGCTACTTTAATTGTCTAACGAAATTTCTTTCATTTGTCAAGGACTACTTCTATTGACATTAACGCAATTGTTTTAAACTTTAGACTGATCTGCAGTATGAAACTGGTTTTCGTTATTTTCGTAATTTGGTGCTGTGATGCCGCCTTACCCAAGCAAGTACGAGTGGGCGTCCTGGTGCCAATAACACCAAGATTGAATGGTGGATTTAGTGTAGGAGAAGGTATTAGAGCAGCTGTTAAAGCCGCCTTTGACGATATTAACAAAGATAGCACTATACTGTCTGGTCTGAATTTGACGTATGTGATTCAGGACAGTGGATGCAACTCAGTGAAAGCTGCGGGGATCGCTGCTGACCTCATGCACTCCCCAGCTTCCATAGATGCCTATATTGGTCCCGGATGTTCAAGAGCATGTCTCTCAGCTGGACTTCTGGCACAGTACTGGAATAAACCAATAATATCCTACTCTTGCTCGTCATCTGAGCTAGAGGATAGAGAAAAGTACTCAACATTTGCCAGAACTCAACCATTTAGCCGGACGTACTCACAAATTACACCATCGCTTCTACTAAAAATCATGCTACACTTTCAGTGGAAAAGAGCAGCCATACTTGCTAGAGACGACTCTTCGACAAACATTTGGGCCCCAGTTGCCTTTGAGTTAAAGAACGTTTTTAAAGAAAACAACATAACCGTTTCTTATTTCAATGTATATAAATTGACTGGAGATATAACAGCTCAACGTAGACAGGCAGAGATTGAGACGGTACTGCAAGAGACCGTGGAGAATGCTCGAGGTAATCCTTATTTGTAGTGTTAAGAACCTTGAAAGATTAAAAAGGTAAGGCGGTCACACTTGCAATATTCAAAAAGGCTTCAACGGTTTTTTTTTTTAGGAGGAAAAATGCAATGTTCCAGGTAGATGGCTTTAAGATAGGCACAGGAGAATGATATGCTAAGGTGTACAACGATATAGATCCAAACTAGCAAGGCTATTAGGGGCTTCCTAGAGTTATTACACAGGCTTGATCAATAGTGAAATTGAAAGCTGAGCTGGTTATGCTTGTTAATGTACGCGACAAGGGTTTGCACTTTGCATCAAGTATTTACGGAAATACAAAAAAAATTTTACTCACAGCCCGTTACATAGCGAAGAATATATTCACCTTGCCTTCTTTGACTGATCGGTGTTCACTTTGAAGTTAATTAACTTACAGTTAGAACAAGAAGAAGTTTATATCATACGCACTTTGGATAATAATAGCTTCTCAGAGGGTTCTTAAAATAAATATTATAGTGACCGCCACTGTAGCCTAGTTTTAAATTTAACAACTTTTTTTTTATTCTGTTTGTTATAGTTGTCTTCATTTTGGGCTCCAGAAGTGAAGTGACGCGCCATTTGATGGTAGCTAGGATGCTTGGAATATTAAACGGCGACTACGCGTTTATCACTTTGGACTTTTATGTCTCAGAAGATCTAGCGACGTCTTTGGCAAACCAGTCACCGTCGCTGAATTGGAATGATGCACTGGAGTCATTTGAAGGATTAATAACTTTGTCTGTCAAGAAGCCAAGATCCGATGAGCTACATAATCTGACGAAATGGCTGAATGATGGACTAAAGAAAATTCCAGAATACCAAAATCACTCCGCTTCTTCAAGGGTAAACAGAACGTTATTTTAAAAATATGTATCTCCCTGGATTTATGACAACCGGATTAACAAACATTTTGTAATTTCTCTCAACTTCCCCTGTCTCAGCTTTTTGACTTTGTTTCTTGCTTATGTCGTTTTTACTTTGTTATTTTGGGGTTAGAGATTTGTGTAGAAGTGGCTGTAGACAGAATTTCGCGAATTTCTTTCTGATAATGTACCACAGATATTTCCTTATCTTGTTTTTTTTTCCTTCCGAGGAAACAGGCAGCAAAGACTGCGCCTTACCTTTATGACGCTGTATGGCTCTATGCACATGCACTGAACCGTACTCTCACTGATGGCAAAAACAAATCAAACGGCACAGAAATCTTGAGAAATGTCATCACGACTAAACCATTGTTCACTGGTAAATATTGCTTGACGTTTTACCACTAGACGTGTCTTTTAGTAACTTCGATTAATTGTACTGTAAAAGTAGCCACCAGCCGTTACCAGAACAAGTGGTTCCTATCTCATGGGTCAATTTCGATAACCTGAAAGTATCATTCACTTTTGCAGGAATGTCAGGACCTGTCATGATAGATAAGAGAGGAAATCGAGTGCCAGCTTTCGTATTTGAAAATATTCAAAGCAGTTCAAATTTACCCTTTTTGGAGCTTGATGTTAGCGGAACTAAGGTCAAGCAGTACACAGCAACGGTCGTTTGGCCGGGGGGCTCGACCAGAATTCCTGATGATGAGCCGAAGTGTTTGTTTGATCCTTGTAAAGGTAACAAGATAATATACACGTAAATGCTAGGAGCCCTTAGAACTCTTGAAACTCTTGTATGGAGTTCCCTGAAAAAATCTCAAAGTCCTTAAATGGGCCAAAACACCAATTTGTCTCTAATATTAAACAGCTTGCAGTAGTTTGAAAAGTAGCTTTGTTATGCTTTAGAGGCAACCCTTTCCTGGAGTGACACAAAGAAACATTATATGCAAATCTGTCCTTTAACTAACTCTTCAAGTTCGGCGATCGAAACCAAATAAATGGAAGAAGCTCTTCAACGATGGCAGAAATGAAAGCGATCTTTGTGACACTGTTCGCTGAGGTCTAGAATAAAATTCTATATTAAAGGCTGGTTTCCGAATAATCTTTGCGATGGCCTGAATCGCTCAGATCCCTGGAGTTTTCTCAGCGATCGCAACACCGAGTTTCTTGATAACCAGAGGAATTATGAGGCTCTCATTTGACTTTTGCGTGGAGGTTTTAGCGGGTAAGAATTTGTCAGTGGTGAAATTTTAATTCGCGCGGATGAAACATTATACTTTTTGTTTACTAGCCAAACGAACTAATTTGTCTGAAAATGTGAATTTTTGCCTAACCGACACAAAATCTCGCATCGATATATTAAACGTCGTCTTCTGCAAACTTAGTGTTTTGGTTGTTCGGTCTACACATCTGGCACGATAAATTTTGCCGTCACTAGAAATTTCGCCCCGCCTGTTCATCTGAAACTTTTTCACTGAAATTTGCTTATTTCGCCGAATTTTGGTGAGGTTCGCTAACTTCACTTTCAGCTACTTCTCCAAAGTAGTGTGCTGTAACTTGGGAAGAGAATATAGAACCTTTTCTTACCTGAACCTTACCCCTATCGATGCCATTAAAGAAAAAACTATGTCAAAAACGAGGGCAAGTGCTTCATCACGGTTCGAGACACCGAGAAACAGATGAAAGCTCGAGGCCGTAGTTATTCCTAGTAAAAATGCGAAAGTACTGATTTCTCTTATACTACTTCTTCTGCCGATAGACCGTATAGGCGAATCTTTGTTTACAGCTTTTGCCTCATTCGCATACGCGTTTCATTCCCTAATCAAGTTATCAAAAAAACTCTGAATAGTGAAAGAGCATTAACAGTTTCAGTTATCTCTGGAAATTAGAGCCCGATATACCAAATAGTTTCAGAGAAATTCTCTCCCAAATGTTCGAAAGTTTTCAAAAAATGAATATGAGCTCAGTAGCGTTTTTGCCACCCAGCAATTTCGCAATTCTCGATTGCTGCTATTTCCTTTAGTATTCAATGCAAAGAGCTGTAAATTGTACAAACTGCTCAAATTAACCAGCAATTTCAACTTTCAAACCTAATTGGTTAAAAAGGACGACGTCTTCTATGGGTTAACTCGTATGCTAATGAGCAAAAATGTAAACAATTATGTCAACAAAGATTTGTCGAAGCGAAACTTCGCACTGACTTCGTTCTAATGAAATGAAATTTCGTCCTACGAGCACGAAATTTCGTTTCGATTAATCACCTTGCTTGCGAAATTTCGCCGCTTTTTCGTCTGAAGCAAAAGTTCGCAATTTGATCGCCGAAATTCGCGTAATTTCGCTTATTTCGGCAAATCTCGTTTGCATTTCTTTTGCACAGTACTGTATATACTGTTAATTACCTAAACAAAGTTAATTATTAGGACTATCTCAGTATAAATGGACGAATTTTGTATTGTCAATGTAAAACAGCTGGATTTCCTATACCGGGTACGAATCTAACAGCTCGTAGCCTGTGGACATCTGCTTACTCACTTAGACATCTCTTTCCCATATTTTTATTTTAAGAGGTAGTGGCGGATGTACACATTTAAGTACGTGATAGGTGACCATTCGATATTATTCGCTTCCAAGGGATTTTAAAAAGCCCCAGGGCACAAGGCTGTATTAGCTTGGAAGTATAGGAATTAGAAACATTTTGTCACCCTCAAAAGAACAATGACCTTCAAATGGCCTAAAAGAGGTTGAAATACTATTTAATTCTTTATATCTTTTCAAGAAATGGAGTTGGATAGCTGGCCCCTAATTGTTGTCGCCGTTCTCTCTCCGCTTGCTGTTATTTTATCTCTTTTGGCGGTCTATCTGTACAGGTATCGATTTAAAATGTTTCATTCTTTAATAAAATGTGATAAAGTATTCTTGATTTCAAAAATTCCGTTGACTTTTCCCGGGTTCCTTTAGGCGCAAGAAATACGAGAAGGATCTTTTTAACAATGCTTGGATCATAGACTTCAGTGAAATTATACCATTATCAGTGGGTAACGGGTTTGCTAGCAAGGTAAGTAAACTGAATACTGAAATAATCTAACAAGAAATTGCTAAGAACAAGTATCGAACCTCAAATCATTTGCAAGTCTGGTCTCAGGAGTTGACAGTTTTGTAATTAGTACCACAGATACAGATTTGTAAGTAAATAGGGGACCCGCTCATCAAGACCCTAGATAAGATGGTCACAAAGCCTCGAAAATATTTTTTCCTGGCCAGCCTGCGGGCCTCAGTTTGGCCTATTGGGGCCCTCCTAGCCCCACTACCGCTCCTCTAGATCCTCCACTTGATATTGCATTTGGCCTCCAAGGCCTTCTAGATTTTGATACGTTTAAAGACGTAGGTAACCCTTTTTTATAATAAGTTGTGACAACGATGTTTCTTATTCCTTGTTCTTCTGTATGTTGCAGGTTGCTAAAAGCTTTTCGTGCATTTCCCAAAATTCTGCCCAAACTGAATGGACTGCAGGGAAACAAGCAACACCACTCGTCGGTCGATACAGGGTAAAGCCTTACAGCTTTTTAAAGCATTTCCTTTATAATATCATGCAATCATTTAAAGAAAAAATTAAGACTGAAAAATTCTTTTTGAGATTGAAGTTTAAGTATAATACTTAAAAAGTGGAAGTGAAGGAGAGAGGAATTAGTCCTTTGAGGTCTTTTCTTTTCTTCCTTGTATTGTTTTATCATTTCATTACTGTTGTTATCATATATATATATAAGTATATACGTATGGTTGACGGAAGAAAACAAGTAACTACATAAGTATCCCTACAAGCCTGTTTCGTGGTTGCCCACTCATCAGGGGATTTTAATGAGAATAACTTTACCATTACTTATATACTAGACTGATTTACATAATTTATTCATATATATATATGTATATATATATATTACTATTATTGTTATTTTCAAATTGTTGTTATTATTATCATTATTATTTTTATTATATATTATTATTATTATTATTTCATTTATATATTTCATATTTTTGAATCTGTAAATAGTCTATTTTTTTTAAATCTATGAATAAAGTTTTGTATTATTATTACTATTTATTAAAAATTAGTATTAGTATTAGTATTGATTATTATTATTATTGTCAGTTCCCACGGTTTTCTTGATCGTCCAACGGGGTCATTTCCTGGTAACAGGTAACCTCCCATCATCTTAGGTATCCATCACCTTTCTTATAATTCTTGCTTTTCCCAGTAAAAAAGCTTTTTGTAATGGCAGAATACTTCCCTCGAGTGCTGCTTTTTTTAAATACGGATGGAATATTTTACTGGTCAATTATTATTATTATTATTATTATTATTATTATTATTATTAAGAGGAAACAGGCTGGTTAAAGTACTTCGACTAGAAACTCTCAAAGTCTCTTTTTACAAAAGATCATGTTTCTAGAAATGGCACGCTCAGTGTGCTCTACCGTAGGTATCAATTCCCCCAAGGAAAAACTTGTTAAAACGGACAGCAAAGAAACAACGCCGTAAGCATCCGTGTTACATCGGCTTCTGTATGACAGTGTGTTAAGACTGAAACATGCAGGAACAAAATAGCTGTCCGTAATAGTACGCCGTCTGTAAGTCGTCGATGCGAAGAGATTATAATATAGAGTATTTTTTTGTCTTTTTATAGGGAAACCTGATAGCTATCAAACGTTTGCACAAGGATTTTGTCAAATTATCTCGTGATATTTTAATAGAGCTGAAACAGGTGAAATAAATCACTTGAGTACGTTTTAATTAGATAGGTACAACACTATACATCGATAAGTGAAGCGGCCCTAAATTACCGAAGGATCTCTAATTTGACATTACTAAAGGTGAGTCCGCGACTGCGCTCTTTTTGCGGCACTACATTCAAACACAGTTCTACTGATCGTCTTGAAGAGGAGCAGATCTCTTGTTTAGCCTGACAGATTATAGACGCTTTTAATACCCTCTATTACAACTAAAAAAAATCGTGACATTTATTACTACTTACAGGAAAATACTAATTGTAAGTTAAATTATTATTATTTGTTTGCAAAGGTACGCGACCTAGTTCACACGAACCTCAACCCTTACATTGGAGTGTGCGTCACTTGTCCTAATATCTGCATAATCTCAAACCACTGTTATAGAGGCAGCTTAGAGGTGAGAAAGTTCCCCACAAGTAATAAAAACGGCCAGGAGGGGTCATTACTCGGAGGGTCAATCACGTGATCGTTTCTGTAGGTTACCTAGCCGCCAACGGAATGTGAAGTTGTTGTCTTTTGAATTAAACATTGCCTTAGCGCGAAAGTACTAGTTGAGGACAATTTTAAACGCCTTCTACTGGAGACGGGACCTCTAATTTGCCTGGTCATCGGAGCTACTGGAAGATCCAGCAGTTTGTGGGGCAAAGGTAATCTTCATTTGTCAGTTACTTGAAGACCCTGATTGTTGATCTGGCCCCGCCGCCACTTCCCACTGTGCCGTCAATTAACGCTCCACCGACTGAGCTAGTCCTGTCACGCGGTTGGAAGAATATGAAAGGGTCTGAAAGTGACAAAGAGTAAGAACAGCGTTAAATTTACTTTAACCATGACTGATTTCCTTGGAACGTTTTAACGTGGTCTTCATTTCAGGAAGTACTGGCAAACGATAATATCAAACTTGACTGGTTCTTTCGTGCATCCTTTGCTCAAGACATTGCAATGGTAATTATTCAATTTAGTGTTATCAAACCCATTTAACATCATTCAAGAAAAGAAAACAAAGAATATTTTTTTACCGTAATTGATTTTCCTTGTCACTGTAGGATTAGTAGTTAAACTGATGAACTGTAACTAAATCAGACTATAAGATAATCGAAGCAGCCCACTGTTTCTCTTAGTTTCAACAATATTAAAGGAAAACTACCATCATTAAAGATTGCGATATCGTTGCATCTTTTTAATGATAGCAATTTTGAAATTTCACCTAGGGAATGTCTGCGTTACATGCCTCTCCCTTACAAGTGCATGGTCATCTTAGATCATCCAAGTGTTTGATTGACAGCCGGTGGGTGTGTAAAGTGTCGGACTATGGTCTGCACCTTTTAAAGTCTGGTCAAAAGCCTGAAGATGTTGGCGAATATACTGAATACCAAAGTAAGCTGAGAGGTTTGAACAGTTCAAATAATCAACTAACGCAAAAAAACTGTTCATGCACCCTTTCCCAAATGTGCATTAAATTCGTTAAGAGGCAAAACTTTTAAAAGGAAAGATTAACCAAAGCATCTTTAACAACCCTTTGCGTCGCCTGATCTGTCGTCATTGATTTCATACACGAAAGAAAATTAAAAAGTGAAATCGTGCCGCCAATAGGGGGTTGTAAATTTCATAACAGAATAATTATGTGGTTGCCCTCAGTATAAATCTGGCTTGTATGGCAAACAACGACTATAATTACAGTGGAACCCTTTCTTTGGGATACCTCTAATCAAGGGTTACCTCCATCTAGGGGACACAAATATTAGTCCTGAAAAAATGTTCACATAATCTTTGAATCTGTTACCTCTATTTAAGGGACACCTCTATTCAGGGGAAAGGGGAACCAAGGGCTAACCTCCACTCAGGGGACACCTTTATTAACAGTCATAAAGTGAATGACCACAAAAAGTCTCGATAAGTTTAAGAGTACACTAGTCAAAATGACGACAGTTTTCACGAAATGTATGTTACTGTAGTTGTGGGAATTCAACTCAAAATATCGCAGAACTAAGTTAATTAATCAGAATTTTTTATACCTTATCTAGCTATTTAAAATAATGACTGAAGCTAATTCCGAGACAGAATAGAAAATGTTAAATTTTTTGGTTAATAATAAACAAACCCCAGCCCAACCTCCATTAAGGGGACACTTGCTTTGGTCCCGAGGGTATCCCCTGAATAGAGCCCCAGTGTACATAATTTTCCGAAAACAGGTCAGTCCGTCCTTCATATATTTTAGTTTTAAAACAACAAAAGTAATTTCTCTCCCGGGGGTTTTAACATCAAAGGAAGGTCCATGATGATAAGCTGTTACATGCGTTTATTAAAGTGGAATCAACGCAAAATGTACAGTTTTTTCCTCATCTTTCGAGCTGAACGCTCCCCTACTTTGTAAATTAATTATGGTAACACGTTTATATGCTCCTGAACGTAACTATAATTTTAGGCTTGAAATTCTTACTATTAATTCATAATTTGACTTGTGATGTGCATTTGAGCACATTATCCATTGGGAATTAGCACACAACAAATCGTATATTACCTTCATCATTGTCATCATCATCATTTTCATTATCATTATCGTTATCATCATTATTACTATTATTATCTGTTTAGAACTTTTTTGGACAGCTCCAGAATTTCTTGGAGAGGATGCAGATTTACCATTTTCACAACCAGGTGATGTGTACAGTTATGGGATCATCCTCGGCGAACTACTCAGTAGAGAGATGCCATATTTTTCATATAATATGAGCCCCAAAGGTAGGTTCTTTAGTACCATTACATTTTTATGAGTTTATGATTTTAGTAAAGTTTGGTCTTGTTTTTCTTTTCATCCATTATTGTCAAATTCATTAACCACTGATCGCACAAGTGTGGAATATTTTACACGCACATGCTCGGATTGGCTAACTTGAAGGTGGCGGACGAACTACAATCATCGTCAAAAGTGTTGGGAAGGTTGCGTTTTTTACCTCTTCTTTTTCTTCCTCCCCCCACCCCTGGCCCAATGTTGATCCAAACGTTAATGTTTGCGCGCGCAATTGTTCTTTTATATCCCAACATTGAAAAGGGGGGACGGGGGATATTTAGCAAAAGAGAAAACTCTCTTTTTTCAGAATTAAAATGGACTACTGTTAAGTTCTACAACCTTCCCAACTAATTTTGTCTGTGATTGTATTTATTACTCGTGAGACTCGTGAGCCCCGAAATCGTCTCATTTAAACGTTCGCAAATGATCGAACTGGAAAGTCTGACACCATTTTTCCTCTTTAGATATTATCAACCAAGTAGCAAAACAGCTTATTCCTCAATTCAGACCTGAATATCCGACTGACATAGCGGGTAACAAAGGCGTCATTCGCTTGATGCAGATGTGCTGGGACAACGACCCTCTTATGAGGCCGACATTTTCGGAAATAAAGTCAAAGTTGAAATCACTTAATCGAGGAAAGTAAGTCTCTTCGTTCATCACAACGTCAGTGCCAATATAAATAAGCATTAGACGCAATGCAAAATATTGACCAGTCCAGTTCCCGTCTGGATTAAAATTGTTGTTAGAAACCATGAAACCCCGAACAAGGCTCCCGTTTTGGCGTCTGAACTCAAACCAATTATTTGATGAGGTTTTTGTGACATCCGCAATAATTATGGTCGGGTAAGGCTGAAAATTTACTTAGACCTTGTTTAACAAAAACGATTCTAAAAATTCTCTTTTTGTAAGTTGTTTTGAAAAAAGTTACGACATACACACCTTCACACGCAACAAACTACAGATAACTCAGTTATCTGCTGGCGGATACAAGTAACATTTATAAAAATCTGCAAGTTTCGATTATGTCCAAAATTAACTGTAGGCTCTTAGCCAATAAAAAGACATATCTAAGTAGCGAGTACAATGTATGATAATCTAGGTTCATATACATAAGTCATGGTTCAGATCTAGGCTCGTGTGACGGATGCTACATTTTTTGATAGTGCTTATATTTTACCTGCGTCATATCCGTAACCTGTCAGAATTTATGTTCTTCATCTAATGCCAAATCTGCCCAGCTAAGCGTATCACACCGTTCCTACTTCATATAAAAGATATTATTAATTTTCATTCGTGAGCAAACGTGAATATAACTTGGAAATTTAGTATTTGTATAGTGGTATCTTCAGAATTAATAGTCAGTGTTAGCGTTTTGACTCTCAAGCAAATAAAAATGGAGCGATGTAATATTTGCGTCTCCTTTCTTCAGGAATTCTAACATTATTGATAACATGATACGCATGATGGAAAACTATACAGACCAGCTTGAACATCTTGTGGACGAGAGAACAATGCAGTTGGCGGACGAGAAGGCTAAAACAGACGAACTACTCTACAAAATGTTACCAACGTGAGTACATTAAACTCTTATAGTTTTTAAGGTATTTTCAATTTTTGTTTGACATGTAGAATTTTTAATTTTGTACTTGATTCATTAAAACGGTTTTTAAAATGAAATTATTGTGCCTCCCTGATTTTGAATGCATGTTTATGACTCAGAAATCCTTTTTGTCCATTCTCGTGTTTAGGTCTAGATTTGGACCCTTGATAATTCTCTTTGAACCTGATCGCCTTGTAAATCAACTTTGTTGGCCCAGATCGTTTGGCAATTTCACGACGAAATGAAAATCCAACATGGCAGATCTTACTGAGATGACAGACAGTTTAAGTCACGACGTAATTCCAGGCCACATGACGTCATCAGGAGACCTTACGCTTAAATATTGACAGCTAGGCTCACTGTCATAGCTTCAAAATTCTAGGCCGTTTTTAAAGTGAAATGCAAATTCCGTTCCTGCCTTCTGCCCCGTGTAGTTCGAAGATTGTTCAAAAAGCTAATCACTTCGTCGGCTTTTGAATAATTTCGGTTCAAGTTTACAATTTAATTTATGGCCAGCATTGTCCTTGTTTATGTTTAGGTCAATCGCGGAAGACTTAAAACAAGGAAGATCTGTAATGGCTGAAAGTTTTTCCAGCGTAACAATTTGTTTCAGTGACATCGTGGGCTTTACTTCCATGGCCGCCCAATGTACACCAATGCAGGTAAAATAATCAGAAAGCAGTTAATTTACATGCCAGGTCTTAGAACCTTATTGCACAGTTAGCTTCCATCCTTTCCGTCTTTGTGCAAGTGAGGTTAAATAACGTTTAAGAGGCTGGAAATGGTTTTATCATCTAAATGCGCGCGTTTTGCACTCAATCCAAAAGTAGCTAACAAATGTCGCAACACCGGAAATTAAATACCGACCAAAACCGCGTAAACTGGAAGTCAAATAAAGTTTATTCAGTGATCAGCCCTGGTCTTTTGCATACAAGCAATCGGTGTGTCATCCGTATTTTTCATCTTATTTGCCATTTTCACATTGTCTTCATTTTCTCTTGGGACCACTGAAGGCAAACATTATGGCGAGGGGGGGGGGGGAAGGGGTGTAACCGCCGAAAGCGACTTTTCTTTACGGTATGTGACAGCATTCAAACGCAACAACAAGAATGGATATTGATGAAGTTGCTATTAATGGCTTTGTTAGATCGTTGGTTGGTTTAAACTGAAATTAAAGTAAAAAATAAACTTAAAAAATGTAAAACGGCTAAAAAGCGACAAAATAAACCGAAAATGAAACTGAAACACGGACTGACACTTACATTGTGTAGCACTGTAAACCATGAAGAAAGTAAACTCTGCCGATACTGGAAAAACCTGCTTAATGTACACTCCACTAGGTGAAACTTAAAGGTGACTAAATAATTCTGGAACTTTAACTAATAAAGATGCAAATGACCGCACTACTTTTCCCAAGGGGGCCTGATTAGAGGAGGCTATTGTTCTTGGGTGTTAGATACAACAGGGGGGGGGGGGTAACAAGGTGTATTATGGGAAATAAGTAAATTGGAGAAGTCCGAGTTTGGGTCGCATAGATGCCACATAAAACTGAGGGAGGATGAGTCATAATTAATAGTTAATTAGCTTGTGAAATTACTCTTATCTTGCTGACTGATGATAGGTTCCTTTAATCATACAAAATTTCTTCTCTTTATCACTTTGACATTTTTTCTAACATTCAGTCATTAAAAACCGAGCCCGATAAGCACTTTAGAAAGTAACACTTTTGAGGTACTTTGAACCATAATAATTATTTCGAAGTCGTTTTCTCGTCATTTGTGATTGTATATCTATTAGTAATTATGGACGGTAATGGCAGTAAATGAATGAAAACGGAAATAATTATTGCTGATCACCAATAATAATGCAGGGAACCATAACAAGTTTTCATCTTTTGTCTGAATTGCAGGTGGTGCATTTTCTTAACGACTTATATACCTGCTTTGACAACATAATTGATGCACATGATGTTTACAAGGTGTGAGTCTAAAATATATTTCTATTAGTAAAGGTAATAGCATGATTTGTAGTGATATTTGGCATAAATACCAGAAGTGATATTTCAATATTGTTATACGTAATTTCACGAGCCGCTAGGCGAGTGAAATTTGAGACAACTTTGAAATATCACGAGTAGTATTTATGCCAAATATCACGTACAAGTCCTGCTATTATTTGTTTATACTACTACCCGCAAAAGGTTTGTAATTTTCACATGTTGGTGTTTCAAATTAAGCTGAAACACCACTGCTCTAGATCTAAGCCAATCAAATTGCAGAATTTTCTCATGTAGTAATATAACTATAAATATATTACTATAGCGTATTCTTAACAGATACGACGAATAGGTTAGTGTATCTGGTCATATAGCGTCGTAACAAACACCTCCTTTGCACACTGTTCAGTTTGTAAATTGTCGATTTGTACGAGAGCATTATTGTGTACGTCCGATCAGCGGTACGTGCCGCGCTGTTCCAAATACTCTTTCAACTCAATCGATATTTGACAAATAAAGTTCTCTACATACGGTAAGCGTCTCTAAAATATGGGATAGAGGTAGGGATAGGATAGAAAATCAGGAGATTTTGGTCTAGAGAAGGGTATCATTTATGGCAAATTGCCCATGCAGTAGTATGAAGTTGAAGTTGCTGTTTCAAAAATTGAATCTGAGTCTGGGTAAGGGTAGGGATTTTTGGTGCCTAGTCTAGAATAAAGCATAGAGCAGAATCACAGGTTTAAATTCGTTTATGGGAATCGAAACCAACTTTGCTTGGGAACGTACGCTCGCTGTATGTATTTCCAAGTGTACCTCTCTTGGTAATAGGTTGAGACAATTGGTGATGCATACATGGTGGTATCTGGTTTGCCTGTTCGGAATGGTAACAAGCATGCGGGAGAGATAGCTACGATGGCGTTACACCTCCTGAGTTCCACGAGAGACTTTAAAATCCAGAATCTACCCAATAGCAGACTTCAGCTACGTCTAGGAATTCATACCGGTTTGTTGATTTGCTTTTTTGACCCTGTTGTATCACATCAGAGTTTTTACTCAATATGAAACATCCTACATATCATTATTTCTCCGTTTCCGTGTGGCTCAACTCTTCCAAGTAATCCTCCATAATCAGCTAGTGTTGACCAAATTTAGAAGATGCATGCTTGCCGATATTGACATACGATTAACGATTGACGTCAATTGTACTCAGGATAATCGACAATGAAGGGGCATACGGCGCGCTCTCTCAGCGATGTTTTGCCACTGTAGAGCTACAAAAATTTCAGTTGGATAAAGATTTTCACGCGTCATGGCTCAAATTCAAATACAAATATATGTACATTCACCACATCGACAAAACGGCCCCGTATTAACAACATAAGATTCCTTTATCTCGGATTTGTTATTTATGCATATGCAAACAAGCTTATCAATAAAATACAAGAACTCTGTTCTAGTCCATCTCTCTATGCTTATTGCTTACGCCCGGAATACGAGTAAGAAAAGCTGATAAGCAAAACGACTCTCTCTTTACGTATTTTTTGGATGCTTTTAAACTTAAACGTTTTCTTCAACGATTCTTTTTCAAGGGCTTGACTCAAACTGAGAGACCCACCACGTCTGTTGTTTTGAAAATATCAGAGAAAGCAGCTGAGTCTAATTATAAGTTGTTCACATTTTTCACCATGTGTGGACTTTTTTTTCCTCAAATGTTAAATTATAGGGTCTTGCGTCGCTGGAGTTGTAGGACATAAAATGCCTAGATATTGTTTGTTTGGAGATACTGTCAATTATGCCTCGAGAATGGAATCGACTGGGCTTGGTGAGTGAATACTCTTAATTACGAGATTATAAGGGACTCTTCCACGTGTAGCGAAGTCAACCAGGGCCACCTGAAATATAAATTTTATTGAGATACTGTCATTTTAATCTGATAACGAACTACACAAGGTATACTCCATTGTTGGGATCGTGACCCGATTCGTGGGGCAACCAGCAGTGTCTTGGATGGCCCCAATTGAATTCGGTGCACTGTTATCAAAGTTAGGCCCAGTTCAAACGTCGAACTTCTCAAATCATACAAGGTCGACGGTTGATTTGAATTTAATTAGTTTTTGAATTTGAACTTAATTATTTTCACGATGTTGACAATGATCTACATTGCTTCAGCTAGAGAAAATAAATTACATAGTAATTTATGCATTAGGTTAGACACAAGGAGAGTTCCATCGTTTGTAACGAAGTCGCTCCATATGGGCCAGTCGAACTTGATTCATGGGTCTACTCAAAATTAGATATGTTGGGATGAACTGATTCAAACGTTGATCTTTTCGTTTACTTAATCGAAAAGGACTAGAATCGGTACATGAAAAGTTCGAACTTTGAACTGGACCTTAGGTTAATGAATATGATTAAGAATAATGAAAATGTACTTCTTTTGTTAATTACATTGAGTGAAACCCAGTGTTGTTTTAAACAAGATTTTCTTCTTCTTTTATTAAAAACGTTAATATTTTCTTTGTTGATCAGCCTTAAGAATTCACGTGAGCCCAGAATGCAAAGCTGCGTTGGATCGTATAGGAGGGTTTTATTTGAAGGAGAGAGGTCCTGTAACTTTGAAGGTTGGTTGAGAAATAATGTGACCACGCTTATCATCATCATAATCATCATCATCATTAAAACAAAACCCATTTCTCACTTCACGATTAAATTGTTTGGAAACAGCTACTCTTAATTAATCCGTCAAAGTTTTTTGTGTGTTCACAGGGACCGTAAAAAGGCATTGTCTAGCACCTATGAAAAACGAATCCCTTTTTTTTATTCAGATTTACAATGGGTATTTGGGAAAACTCATCATGTCTTTCCATTTTATCCCCTGATCACGAAATTTAAAGACTGTCGAAAAATTATTTTTTTAGCATGGATCCTTGCTTTGGTTGGACTGTCTGTCATACTAGATTATTGAGCTGCTGTAGTTGTTCTCTTTTATTTTCAGGGAAAAGGAACCATTATCAGTTATTTCTTAAACGGAAAGGAAGGCTTCACTAAACCTCTACCGGACCTTCTAGATGCAGCACCCTTGTCAGAACATGAATTTAAACAATAATGGAGGAGCAAACGTTATAAAAAAAGGGACACTTCATAGCGTATAATCATTCGACTTATCTCCCAAAATAGAATCTCTTTTACATAACAAAGGAAATATATCTTAATAAACACAAAACGATGCGATATTACATAATTTATTATGGAAACAAATTTATTACCTAAGCAGAGTTTACTATACTGTAAATAAAAGTTATGCTATTTAGAAGTAAATTTGTTATATAAATTTTACTCAACATTATTAATCGCACTTAATCACGCTATCACATTAATATTGGTATAGAAAATGTCCTCTTCTCTTGTTCCAAGAAACTCAAGAAAATTGACTTTCTTGTGAGGGGATTTTAAAAGTAAATAGATAAATCCATTAACAAATATGCAAATTAAAAACAGATAAGCAAGTAAATGAATTATTTTAAATAAAATTTATAAATTAAAACACAGAAAATGTGAACGTTTGTGATATTTTTCCTTTCCTTTCCTTTTTTTATGTTTTTATCTTATGGATGGTCTTTTTGGTTGTGCTGGGTATATAAAGTGTAGCCTGTCTTCCCGGGATTTTACTGTAGTGTTGGGGCAAAGTATTCACGAATTCCTGATAAGTACATGTCCACACATGTAACTACATACTGTTGGTTTTTTTTTCAGTTTGTGTAACACAAGTGAATCGTAACAAGAAAGTCCAAGCTGACAAGACCACACGTGCAAACAGCTTTCAAATTTTTAAGATCTGCTAGTCTGTAAAATCATACGACTTCGAGTTCAATTTGGAATTTATTTGCACGAGTCTGTTTTTCAAAAAGCGTCATAATAGTCCAGTTTCGAGTTCGCTATGACCGCTGAATTAAAGAGGTGAAGACGCATTTTTACAGGCTTAGCCTCCATCTGAAGAAATATATCCACAAATTCCAACGAGAAAAAGACCTGGTTATTACTCTGTCTATTGTGTATATTCAAATTTCAAACACTTACTTGCCGGAATTTGTGAATATTTTACTTTATATCGAGGCTAACCCTGTGTTAGGGCCTGTTTACATGGAGTGGCGACCCCGGTCTAGTGGGGTTGGTTTCTTTTGTTTTCACGCTCTGGGGGACACAAAACAAAAGAAACCTACCCAACTAGACCGAGGTCCCCCACTCCATGTAAACAGGGTCTTAATGTGTCGTTGATGTTTGTATTCAGCAGTAATTTTTAATTTGAAACTGGGCTATTGCATGAGCCAGTAGGGATATACTATATCTCCCCAAATGTAACGAGAAAAGTTGTATGATTACTCATTGTTTTCGTGAATAATAAAAAATGAAAGAAAATACTTGTCTGGCTTTGTTTGGGCGCTTTCAGGGTGGTTGCTTGGCTTATTTAGTATCAAAATCTTGCTTCGAGGAGCTGAATTGTCTATCCCTTAATTATAGAACAGGTATATCGTTTCTCTCTTAATTGCCTGTCCAAAAAAGGGGAAGGCGCACACGAGCCAAAGGCCCAAACGTCCGGAGCTTATCACGGTTTCATCAGCATGAAGCACCTAGTATTGCTACTACCCCCTGGACGGGATGCTAGTCCATCGCAGGGTTACCCCCAGCAGTGTGTTGCCGGTACCCATAAATACACCTGAGTGAAGAGAGACAAATTGGAGTAAAGTTCCTTGTCTAAGGAAACAACGCGACGGGCGAGGCTGGAACCCGGACCTCCAGATCCGGAGTTCGAGGTGTTAACCACTCGGTCACACACGCCTCCTTACCTGTCCAAAGCTGTTGTCGCAACTTTGAGACCTTTGGGCTCACAATCGTCCTCTTATTCGTTTTTGTTACTCGTGAGTCTCGACGTAGAAGTGCTTGGCCTAGCAGTTTGTTGAGGTCGAAATGCTCGTCTCCCTCTTTTGTACAATTGTTACAAAAAATAATAATAAAATATGCTTTGTACGCAGGCAATTTTACGTGACTCACAAACTTTAAGGCACTTGTCAGCTTCCCGCCAGTAGATTGCAGCACCTGATTGGTTCTTATATATCTAATGTTTATTATCCGAGAAGACTAGTCTAGCCGTTTGCAGATGTTTTTACAAAGGCTGCACTTTCTTCTCAGTTATTTAAGACCCTTAGTGTTGGTCGGGCTTTGGACCCGCTACCTCCTCTCAGCAGTCAGGCGCTCTGATCTCCTGACTGATCTAACCAGGCGGCGGTATATGTAGTTATTGCCATTTAGATATTCATGATCATATTTTTCTGTATTCTGAATGCCGTTTTTACATTAAGATTGTACATTTGCATTTATTTACAAGTGCGAATGTGTTTTTCAGAAGTTGGGCAAAAAAAATGGCCTTAATAACGAGGTGACCATATTAACGAGGGTTTCTTTACAAGGAGATTTATGGTCGTTTTTCCGGGCGGCCAAAAAAAGTGGCCGTAATAACGAAGTGACCGTATTACCGAGGTGGCCGTAAGGCGGGGTTCTACTGTATCGAAATTGCATGAACCCGTAGGGCGGATGTAATGAAATTTAACAGTTATTGACCCAGCCTCGTACCCAGGCCTGTTCGCGCTATCCGAGTGACCAGAGGAGGCTTGGAACCGAGCGCGATAGCGCGAGGCCTGGCAAAAAATGGCAAAAAAGTCCCAGATCGACGAGAAAAAGTCCCAGATGATTTCTCGACGAAAATCCTTTGTTTTCTGCGACGATCACGGAATATTTCGGACTCATGAGATTAATACATCTCTTCCGAGCATCTTTGGATCGTTTCAACTGATAGCAACGAAATGTGGCGGGCATGTTTTCCCAAAAACACTGGTATTAAGTTAAGCATATCGTTTACAGTCTTGTTCGCTACACGAAGCTAGAAAAAAGTTTCTTCGTAGTTGGGCATGGGACGATCACTGTACACTGTATGTACACTAGTATCAAAGGCTTCATTTTCATTGAACAAAATGGGCGTTCATTTCCTAGTTACAGGGCTATAGTGGGCTTATTTTGCCTTTGTTGTTCGAATTGTTGGTAGAAAAAAATCACGAGAATCATTTACACGGTTTCGCGCGAAAAGCAAAAAAAAAAAAGACACTACATACCATTTTCAGCTGTTTGAATATGCTTTTTGCCCTTTATAATAACTTAGTACCTTGAACTTGTACCTTGCAGCTCCCAGTTCATGAAAAACATTCTAATAGTCTATTTTGAAAATAGCACCAGTAACTCATGTAATATTCGGGTGTCTTAGTTTTACCTGATTTTTAATGATATGACTATCATTCTGTCCTTTATATGATTGCGACTTAGAGCGATTTTTCTTGACCCATGAATCATTTAATAACAACTACTGCAAAATATAGCTACAAATAAACAAAAGAAGACAATAGAATTAGTGCATGATAGTGCTTAGTATTCTACTTCCTGTTTCATGCGTTAAGTAAAATCACTCTGAAGGAGGCTGCAATTTTAGAGATGGGAAAATTTTGGATAGTTGACACTTAATCTTAATTTACCTGCCTGACAGGCATAATTTCTGAGCAAGGTATTGTACATCAAATGTTTAGTTTTTTATTTTATATTGTCTATTTTTTTACCTTCCTTTACATTCATTTTCAGAAAGTTTTGAAGGGGATGAAAGGAGAGTATGTAATAGATGACACTGGGGATGCGAAGGATACAGGAGCAAAAGGAAAATGTAATTAAGCTGAAGAAAACTTGAAATGGAAATAAAGATATGAAACCATGATGTTTAATATTGAATTTCTTAGGTTTCATCAAACAAAACTGTATTGATTTTATAAGGAAATTAGATTGATTTCCTTAGAAGCCATAGTTTTGAACACTTGTGAAATTTGTTAAGAGAAATTTTTTAAACCTGCTAACAACTACTTCTTGTCTTGTAAAACTTGTTGTGGGAATGGGTTGGGGGAACAACTTCAAGACCAACTCAAGACCTTTTTCCACTTAATTTGATGCCATAATGGTACCATTGGCTGGGCCAGCTACATGCCATTTTCAGCTCTTTGAATATGCTTTTTGCTCTTTATAATACCCTAGTGCCTTGAACTTTTATCTTGCAGCTCCCAGTTCACGCAGAACATTCTAATTGTCTATTTTGAAAATAGCACCAAAAACTCATGTAATATTATTTTTAAACTTATGACTCACTGGAAGACCACTGCTGCGAAAGTGGTTCGAGATAAAAAAGAAAACAGAAAAAAAAGGAAAGCACTTAATTTGAGTGTCAATGTATTCAGCACAAAGGTAATAATTGGGGACACTATTTTACGTCTACTACTGCCATTTTATATGGTCATGCATCCGAGGCACGCAAAGGTCTAGCCATTTGCAGCAGGGCAAAGGTAATACCTTCATTTCTCAGTCATTTTAAGATCCTGAGTATTGGTCCGACCCCGGGAATTGAAATTGTGACCTCCCACTCTGCAGTCAAGCACTCTACCAACTGAGCTAATCCTACCACGGTTGAGATAAAGTTTACATAAGATAGTAGTACAGTGGAACATAGAGCCTAGATATGGGGTCGTGCAACAACAACAACAATAGAATCAGACATTAATAGAAACAGAAAGAAAGCTTGGCTGAAAGTTTTCAACAGTCCCAAAAGGATCATCTCATTTAAATTGTGAGTAGATACACTGGTTGAAGATAACTTGGATATGGAATTAAATTTTATTCATGCTAAATGCTATAAAAGCATGGACACAAAGTGTTTTACATCTGATGCCGTTTCAGGATATTTGAACGCTCCTGATGTTACTCAGTATGTTGTAAACTGCCCCTATAGCTTGTATCTGCCACATTGAGGCGTATTCAAAAGGTTGACAGCATTTCATGACTTCTGTTTTGTATAGTTAATGGACAAAAGCAGCGTCTACGACTTGATCCACTATCGTTTAGGACTACACCTAGGTTTGAAGTCTCTCTTGAATTGCAATGCGCGCAGTGCTACGATTCGATTAACAAGTTCTGCATCTGCTAGATAATATGCTGAGTACAGAGCTAATTCGATGACACTTCTTT